TCAATGAGGTGAGAGTTGCGGTCATTTAATATTTCTATGCTATTCCTATTTTTAGTACCTACTGCAGGGTTGTTGTTCAGCAAAGTCATTTTCAGTGATCATTACCTCAATGCAAGCAAAGCTGATCCTGTGATTCTCGTATGCGAAAACTATGCAAACCATTTTTTAAAGATTTTGTTTAATCTACAATTGAGTAACAACTGGTTTCTACGTGGAGCTTAGTTCAGACGCTTGAGAGAACAACATTAATTGTTTTTTTATGAAGGTTAATTCTTTCAAATTATAATATCAATGTTGTATTTCTGAGGAACCATTAACCGATAATCGTTGTGGTAAACGCGTTCTTGAGTGGAGACCGCGAACTGGAAAACGCAGTGCAGGACGCTCTCAGACTCGGTGATGATCTGTGCAGGGTGGCTGGCAGGATGGTAAGAGAGAGAGAGGCAAGATGGTATACGATCGTCGTGGCTAACACGGTGCTCGGCTTCCAGGATTTGAAACCTCAAACCGGATCGCATGATCGCTTCGCAGCAGAAGCGGTGGATATGGCGGTGGATGCCTTAAGATTTAAATTCGTTTTATATCTTACTTACATTTTCTGACAAAGGCGGATTTTTTTTTTTAAACAAACCTCCTTTATTATGCCAATATTTATGATTATATTATAATACTTTTAGAATATAATTAATCCTCAAATTTTCCATTTGATTTTGTATCACACTTTCCACTGTACCTAATCAACAATTTAAGTCAAATTAAAAGCAATAAGTGGTTGCTTCCTAAAGCCCCGTAAATTATAGATGGTGAGCGAAAACATCCAAAATTTAATGTGAAGATGGAACTAATTCACAACGTGTTTATGGTTGTACTAACCCATGTATAGTCGTATGAGCAAAATAGCACGAGGGTTTTTGATCGTTAAATTTTGAACGACACGTAAAAGAAGCAAAACTCGAAATCGGTACGAGCTATCAATGATTTGAACATTCGAATTTTAATAGATCTTTATGCATAGTATTTATCGGTTAATTTAACACTCTATCTTTTATTTTTCTTCGTCTATCTTTATATTTTATTTATCAATCTATGTAGCGGATTCTTTTATGGTAATTTTCACCAACTCCAAAACGCCCAATTAACTTGGAACTTTAACTTGGAACGTCTGGGTCTGCGGGGGGACTTCGGTTCCCTCTGTATTATATACCATCATCTCGTTTTTACCATCGCACCGCCCACCCCGGAGGTAGAGTTCATCCATACAACCTAGAGCCATTGCGTTCATCCACAGTGCGTTTCCAGAGATCTTTTTTGTCACGTACCATCCCGGCTTTGGAATGAGCTCCCCTCCACGGTGTTTCCTGATGTCCTTCTTGAAACGATGCTTGTGGAGAGTATTAACCGGTAGGCAGCGGCTTGGCTCTGTCCCTGGCATTGCTGACGTCCATGAGCGACGGTAGCCACTTACCATCAAATGGGACGTATGCTCGTCTGCCATGCTCTGGTAATAAAAATATATAAAAATAATAATTATTATTTTATGGTATTAGTTTCCCAAATACATATTATATTGGATCAGGATAAGAAAAAGTTTATTTTAAAATGTGTCAATTATTGTTTTTTGAGTTTTCTTTAGATTTTATTATCTTATATATTTTATAGGTTTCTACGAGTATGTTGGCAATTCAAAAATTAAAATTTATTGGAAGATCTTCATAAAACATAGTTATCGATATAACAGCGATTTGTATGAAAAGTCATCCTGATATTTTGCCTCTCGTGCCAACAAATAATGTATCCAGTGTCCTCCATAGCTTTAATTTGTTGACCAAAGGACACAACTTTAAATAATTTGGAAGGACGCAACGTTATTAAGAAAAGAAAACTTTGCACTCTGCTTCCAGTAGCGAAATAGTACACTGTGCCTTTCCTATTCGACTTTTTTTATTGCTTAAATGGTTGGACGAGCTCGCAGCCCACCTGGTGCTGTGGTTACTGGAATGGGCTCCAGTAACATCTACAACGTAAATGCGCCACCCACCTTGAGATATAAGTTCTAAGGTCTCAAGTATAATTACAACAATATTAGTTACAACAAAAAGACCCGTAAGCAAAACCTCCCTCTTTCCATTCAGCCAGAATTCCTACTGGAAATCAATGCAAGAGACAACGCCGAGTACATACGTCTAAAGCTCAAATATCAAATATCTTTAAAACGACACTGAAAAATCTCCATGCTAGATTGCATTAGCTCTCTTGTACCTCTGTGTTTACACCGCCTAAAATGTATGCAAGAGTCATTCAAGGAGTTGACAGTCGATTGAGCCTTCTCTATTCATACTTCTTCTCAGTTAGCAGAGTGGTCGTGGTCATCATATCTTTATTCATAGTGACATTAATTAAACCACTAGCTCATCTGCCAGCTTAAGATTAAAAAAATAGATAATTATTGCCAGGAATGTCGTATGTAAACAATCTCAAAAAAAAACCAGACACTATATTTATTGTGATTGACATTCCACATCGTCAGTCGATACTCGATCGTTATAAGGTTGCATAACAATGTAGTTAGTCTTTCTTCGAATTATGGCGTCAAATATGATATCGGAGTCTTAACAGCTGCATAAAAAGTTAATTTGTACCAGAATATTTTACAAATACTCGTTGCGGTCGCCTGCTACTCTAACTGGACACGAAGCCGCGGTGATGTACTGAGACAAATTTGATAGTATAAATTATAAGAGGACGGCTTTATGCACCAACAGATAATTCTACGGCATACAAGAGTGGTTTTCGATTTTCATTTGATTTTCTAGGAATTTAAAAAAAATCAGTTACAATTATTATTTATTGCGTATATGGGTGGACGAGCTCACGACCCACCTGGTGTTGAGTGTTTGCTGGAGCCCCTATGGGCATTTAAATGCCGTCACCCACCTCGAGACATGAGTTTTAAGGTCTCACTTGTAACAGCACAACGGCTGTCCCGCCCTTCCGACCAAAACGCATTATTGCTTTACGTGGTGGTACCTACCCGTGCTGACTCACAAGACGTCCTACCGCCAGTAATTACGCAAATTATAATTTTGCGGTTTTGACTTTTATTACACGCTGTTATACGAGTATTATGTATACAATCATGTGAGCATTTGCTATGTACGTATTTCAGATTTCAGATTTTTGTATCAGTCAGAATAATCTCACATACCATCACAGTACTTCTAGAAAAAAAAAAAAACTAACAAAAGTTTAGTTTTTTTCTTAATTGTCTAGTACATTTAAAGTTTATTTTAATAAAAGTATAGATTGTAATAGAACCGGCTCTGTTTTTAATAAGAGGCAAAGAGCTAGACTCAGTGCAATATATCTCGGATAATTGTCGTTTTCAACGCTAGGCTTACTGTAACATTGCACCGAGTATCTTCTTGCTCATAGGATAGCTTAGCATAACAACGCTTCATTTCACAATATTTGTTAAATAAAATTAGTTTTATGTTAAATATATGTTTTTTTAAAGCGGCTTATAAACTGTTTAGAATCTGTGAAAGAGGCTTCTTGGGTTCTTCCAAAAAGTCCATTGAAGATTCAGTAAATAATCACCGTTTTACTGAGACTTATTTGATCCCATCTCATCTCGTTCCATTTAATTTTATCCCAATTGGCATCATAAGAGGGCAATTACTTAAAAAAAAGAATAAAATGTATTTAAGCATACAGTATTGAGCTGTTTGCCGTGACGCCTTCGTCTTTCCGGTTGTAAAAATGGAACTACTACTAAAATAGTAATAAATGCGACAGCTTTACAAATGTCACCCTTACCTTACCGAAGCTCATTATTGCATTCATTATTGACCTATTATTATATTATCGTCTTGTAAAATTATTTATTCGTTAAAATTCATGTACTTTTTGAGTTTCATTCGAGAATGTTGAGTAATATTAATAAAACAAACAAACAAATTTTTAACAAATTTATTTTCTCAATTTACATAATTACAAGAGAGACGAGAAAATAATATACAAAAATGCATACACCAGCCGCTAACGTAATACAACTAAATAACATCGCATAAATAGTTTTTGGTAAAAACTAGATAAATTAATTTGTTTCGTTCATGAAATTTTAACCTCTTACTATTGTAAATTTTAGTGATCACATTATTCACCTTTTTTACAATTAATTTTTTTTATTTGTTAATTTTTTCTAAATAATTTGTTGAAATATTTCTTTGTAATTAAAAAAAGCGAGTGAACTCGAACGCATTATGATATTGACATAAGTTCTGTGATTGAATAGGTAATGTTACTATCGATCATAAAACACAAACTAGATGCTTAGAAATAGTCTCTTCTGCGTTATCTGGTGCGTACGAACGTCTTACTTACCCTGACCTATTCAACTCCAATCGCAATTCATATCGCAGGTGGCCTTTGCTATATATATTTGTATGATTTAATTGTTACAAGTAGAAAAAAATTTCTAGTAGGTACTTCACATTTTTAACGACACGACGATTTTTATCCTTTGAAACTAATTTCCTCAATTATAAAGAATCGAACTGAAACTCCAAAGCGATCGTACTGTGATGTTAATGTTATATTTTTTTTAATACACCCAGACAAATACTTTTTTTGTTAATACCAATTTGATTATCCTTGGTTTTATTAAATGTTACGGTTTTAAGTATTGATATAAACAATTATGGTTTCATAATTATAAATTAGATACACTACTAAGGCTTATTAATCATTTCTGTTAAACACTACAACATTGAGAACTATGTATTTAAATAGCTTAAACACAAGCTTGATCTATTTAGTAACAGATCTTCGTTGATACGTATCGATTAACTAAAATACATCGTCGATATATTTCGATCTCATTAAAAATCAAAATACTTTTTTTAACGTTTTGGCTTTGAAAGAATTTAAGTAACAACGTTTTCCATTCCAATTGAATGTAAATCTTTTCTCGTTTTTCTAAGCATAGTTATTTATATATATTTTTTTTTAATTCGTTGAGCGTGTTCTCACTTCTGTTGATCGCATTTATTTAAAAATAAGATTACAAAAAAGATCAACTCGAACTTATTGACATTCGAGGTCCTTATGAAATACGAATTTGAACGTACAACAATTTTATTTTTACAATAAATTCATTGGTAGTTGTTTTGCAATTACGTTGATTCGGTAGATAAATATCGAGATACTACCGACATAAAGTTCATTCTTAATCGTGTATGCAAAAATTTTAAATTTCTTTATCATTTCAAAACACTAAGGACATCATTTATGAGGGCAATTAAACTCGAACTCGTGCCTTCGAATCGTATTTTAAGAATAGAAACACGGATTGCCTATGACATTGACTGACAAAACTTGCGTTTAGCTCATAAATTAATTCTTAAAAAAGGGAGCATGTAGATACTGGAACAGACACAGTGGTTAGAGGAAATCCATAGACATCAAATCTTGAATTCCACCATGCACGTTAAGATATAATGTCCAAGTTTCAATGGTATTGAAACGCTCTGGGTTCAACTAAATGCTAATCGTTCAAATGTATACGATTTCCGTGAAGGAGTAAAAACGTATTTATTATAAATTAAATCACACAGGGTTTGGGCTCAGGGAAGTACAAGAAAAAGCGAAATGCAATCGAGTTTGAATCGATGGACCAATGAGTTAGTCCCGCCGGTGTTGATCTTGTGTTGGTCGCGGTAATCAATAATACTGTAGTCGATACGCAACTAAACCACACCATGCGCCTAATCACGCGGTGCTTAAAACCAACCCCTCTGCACTGGCTTCCGGCTCTGAGCAGCATTACCCCACTCCACCTTCGCCGCACCCACCATCTATACGCAGAGATAGAAAAGGCGCTTAGACGACCCGAGCTGCCTATCAACAGGGACCTAGCCAGGTTCAAATCAACGAGATTGAAGTCACGAAACCCACCGGCATTACAGGCACACCAACCACACTCCAATTGGAACACAAACGAGGCCTCGGTTAAAGAATGGTCAGCCAGATGCATCCCACCTGAACCGTTCGAGCTGAATCCACACTCCCGTCGACCTGGTTTCAAAGTAAAACGCCCAATCCGGTGCATGCATAACCACCTGAGAACGGGAGTTGGTCACTGTAACCAACTGCGGAAGAGATGGGGCTGGACGGAAAACGAAAGCTGTGAATGCGGATGGCCAGAGCAAACTGTACGCCACATTGTCATGGAATGCCCACTAACGAAATTCGCAGGCCAAATGGAAGATCTCAAAAATGTAACAGAAGAAGCTATCGATTATTTCACAAACTGTAAATTTAAATTATAACCACGCAGTGTAAACGAATGCCATGCGATAAATAAATAAATCAATAAGCATAAAATTATCCATGTGGTAGTCAACTCAACGAATGCAACAAATACACATGCTAAGTACGTGTCCGGTGTGTTAGCCATGCCTAAATGCTCTGATCTCTCTATCGTCTGTGTGTGTCGTCTGATGGCTCTAATGTCGTACCATTTGTTCATATGCCTCGAAAATATCAAGGGTTAATAATTGTTTTTATATAAATACAATTTAAAGGAACCGTAACAGTTAGACTATAAATTTAATATTAGTTCACAATGCACTTCTGGCTTTTCACATTGGCTTTCGTACAAATCGTAATATGATTGATTACGCTCAAAGGTTCAAGGTTCAACAATATAATTAGTATAGAAGTAGGTGCTAGGTACAATACTTATAAAATATAAACTGCATTCACTATTTTTTTATTATGAATTCAAGGCTTACCGTCCGGAGGATTGAAGAATTCCCAATGATGATGATGTATTGTTTTACTATCGCTCAGACCGAACATTATCAAACCTGCGATCAGAACTAAGAATATTACCAATGCCATTTGGGCATCCCTTTTATCCTCTGTACGGTTAATGTAAGCCATGAACGAATTAAATACATTCCTCAGCGTCCTACTGATTGAACTCTGACACACTCTCAAAAAATTTACACCGGCTTCTGCTATAGAGGTTTCGTGGGTGCGGACGGGGGGAGGCATGCGTCGCGGTGAAGGTCGAAGACGACCGTCATCAGAGCTGGACTCTGTATGGGGGGCAGTCGGTTTCCGCTTTGCTCGACGAGCAGGAGGTGGCGGGGTCTGATGCTGAGGTTCATGGAATTCTGGAAAATGTCGTTCTCGTAGTGGCCGCTGAGGGGCAAGCGACGCTGGTGGTATACTTAAGTCTTGAAGATATGAATACAATAGGGGCGTTAGGTCTGGAGGAGGTGGTCGCAGAGGTGGTGCAGCGCCGTCATCTGAGCTTCCAAGTCTCTGTGGTGGAGATGGCCTCGCCGGTGCTTCTTCTTCAACAGTTTGTTTGATTTTCTCCTTCGTTTCTTTAATTTCCTCTGTTTGAGTTTGTTCCTCGTGACTAACAGGACGAGACCGTTCGACAACAAGTTCGTTTTGAGATGGCCCGTGACCGGTTGATATTTCAGCGAATTTTTTGACGATTTCGTCAATCACAGATTGAGAAAACTCGATACCGCTCACCGATATGTGACCAGATTTGGAATCAAGCTCAGATACCTGTAAAGTCATGCCTTCGATATCCGAGACCAAGATTTTGTTTGCCTGGAGCTCGGAAACATTAAGACGTCCGACGTCTAAGTCTCTCACCTGAAGTCGTTGAGTAACTAAATTATCTAACTGTACATCTCTGGTTGCGTCAGCAACACGTTCGACCGCTTGCCCCTGACATAATGGCGTACTATTTTTAGAACCCTGAATTGTACCTGAGATTCCTTTTGATCGGGGCAAAGGAGGAACGTCAGGTATTTGTGTTTCATCAATATCTATGGGCTGAACTGTTAAAGAGGCTTCAGTTAACATAACATCACGCTCATTGATTCTGGTAGGACTCGAGACTCGTTTTTCGACCAAAATGACCGTTGGTGATGTTCGACCAATATGAGGTTTTGACAATTCAGATATTTTTGGATCGGAAAATTTTAATGATTTTTCTGATCTTGATGTAGGTCGAGACGTGCGTGGGCTCTCTGTTAGTCTAGGATGGCTTCTGGTCATTAAAGAATCTTCATCAACTATATCTCGTAATGAGCTTGACATAGAAATGTCTAGATTTTCGTCCAATTCAAAATCGACGTCGTCTGGTAAAGGATCTGTCTGCGTGGAAACTTCTATTTCGACAATGTCTTCATTCTTTTTTATCTCCTCTTGGTTATCAAATTCTGCTTCTACATTCCTTTCCGATTCGGTAGTAGGATCTCCTTCACCATAATTTCTGGTTTTCTTCTTGCGTCTCGATCCTCTCGGCGGTCTCGGTGGCGGAGGGAGAGGTCTATCTTTCATTTTATTAATTATCTCCCCTGACTTCAGATCCTTGTTCATTTCGAACGCGTCATCAATTTCCACGTACTGAGTAATGTCACTGCTGACCGATCGTTTTGTGTAGCTGCCTAGAGTCATTAAGCTAGTCGAGGACTTCTTTCGCGGAGGTCGATCGGGACCCGCTTTGCTAGGTCCGACCGTGTAATACTTTCGTTCCGAACTGTTGCTCTTACGGCGTCTCACGGGTGGCGTAGCACTAACAGACCGTCTTAGGCCTTTACTAGGAGTGTAGGGTACTTTGTCGACCGTCGCGTAACCGGGGCTCTCATGCCGGAGGTCGCGTCCATCGACGTCATCGTGCAGAGCCATGTGGGTGTCGAGGGTAAGAGATTCGGCGCCGTGAGATGTTCTGTCGTCATCGCACAGGGAGGTCGCGCGAGAGCTCTGAGAGCGATTCCTTCGAGGCGGAACGGGGCTGTGTTCGGTAACAATGTTCTCGCTCGGAGGTATGACGTATTCGTGTTCAGTGCGATACACAATTATCTGAAATAGATAAAAGATTTGTAATAATAAAACGTTAACACATTTTGAAAACATGCCTTTTTAACTAAATCTAATTTGATTTCGGAACGAATTCAAATTAAAATTGAATATATAAGTATGTATGTATGTGCGTTATTTTAATTTGGCTTCTTAATAATAACTATTAGTTAATTTAAATAAAATCTAAAGCTACTTATAAACTTTGATCCTTGAATTTATTGATACGAAGAAAAATATAATTTCGAAATCGACAATGATTCGATTCATTTTTTGATAGCTCTTTTAATAGACAAAACTCAGTCCAAAAGTACCATAGACTCTATTTAAAACACAATTCGGTATTTTCTATAATTGATTCGAAAGTATGCAAAGATATCGATCTCAATCACACTAGTTTGTCGCTATGTCTGCGCAAGATGGTAACATCAACCGTACAAGAAACCATTACCGTAGTGCCAGCAACACCTTTAAAACGGGTCGTAGCAATGAATGTGAATTTTATAGCATACACTACAAGCAAACAATAGCTGGCATTCGCTCGTGGTCATTAAAGCATTAATCAATCTAAATTCTAGTAACAAAAATATATATTATACTAAAACGCTCGTCGCTTTATATACGACATGCACTTGATCTTACAATGTTTACGAAGATTGAATTTGATGGAGACAATAAAGAGAACAGCGGTAAGGCTTAATTGAGCTCCATTAAGTCAGATATTTCTTCGATTATTGATATGTTTTCATACTCAGTTAACCCCATGGAATGCCGTAACGATGATTGGAGGATTGCTACGATTTTACATAGTACCATTATGATTTGATATGATCGAATCTTATTTACTGTGTTACTTTTTAGTGTTTAAGGATTTTCTGTTGTATTATTAGAACTTGAAGACGTTTTCACATTGTGATTGTGACTAAACCTATCGACAGCGCAATCAATGTTTTATAAAGTCTGTAGATTCTAGTACGATTAATACTAGCTGAGATAAATATTTTACTTATCTAAACAAATGAAAATATTAAACAGTTTTATTTAACGAATCGTTCTAGAGTTTCCTATTTGTTTCAAATTTACTGTACGTCTTAAATATCGGACTGTAATAATCATACTGAAGATTATTCTGGACAGTTAGGCAGACTGATAAACATTGATTAAAAGGCCCATTTAAGCTCTTTTTAACACTTATAAATCTAACCACAATACTGATGTGTGCTTCAGACAAAAAGAAATTTAGATGGACACTAATTTATTACAGCTTTTAAATCTAGATTCATAAATTTTTATAGCTCAAACATTTGGTATTAACAAACTGAGCTAACACCGGTCATAATCACATTTTGACTGGTGGTAGGACCTCTTGTGAGTCCGCACGGGTAGATACCACCACCCCGCCTATTTCTGCCGTGAAGCCGTTGTAAATATACTGAGACCTTACAACGTGTATCTCTAGGCGGGTAGCGCATTTACGTTGCAGATGTCTATGAGCTCTAGTAACCACTTAACACCAGGTGGGCTGTGAGGTCGTCCACCCATTTAAACAACACACACGACATTATAGTACGCGACGATAAATGTAGAACATCATTAAATGAAAATTGAGAAATATGAGAATAAACTAAGAAAATACAGAGGAAGGATTTTTTGCAAATATATTGTCGGGAACAAAGGTAAGAAAATTATGCCATAAAAAATCAGCATTATGGATGTATTACTTTGCACTTATGCTCTTTTATGTCCATGTCTTCACACATAATAATACAACGAAAGTTTCTTTGTATATTGCCATCTAGGCATTTACACAGCTTGTCTAACTGGTTCGAAACTTGGTAGCTGTGTGTGGCATTTCAGGGAGTTTTTAATAATAGTACCACCAATGGTTAATAGATGGCGCGCAAACTGTGTTCAAGCAATCAGTGTTTTTCATACATTTACTAACAGTCAGAACGGAGAACCGCCGGATTTCGCTAGTTGCTACATAAAAAAATCATAAAATTAGAAGAAAAGTAGCACGTGCTTTTAGGAAAAATGGTCTCTCTAAGAATATCATAACGAGGGGTGAAAGGCAAAATTTATCTTTTTAATTATTATTGCAGGTGCGTTTTTTTTGGTATCAGCATCAACAATTCGATATTTTTAATTGAGGCTATCAGCGCAAAAGTGGCCTAACCCACAGTTTTTCATATTCGTGCTTACGTATTACATTATTTAAAATATACAAAAATTTGATGCAAAACTGGCCTATACCTAGTTTCACCCATTGATAACAGATGGCTTGGTAAACATAATTTTTGCGCGTTTTGTTTTTGCCAGCGAAGCACTGTAAAAGTTAATTCAAACCTCGTTATCTCCATACTAATTATGGTAAGCTTAAGCCACACCGGTCACCGTCCTCGTCGAACCCGTCGCTTGCGACGAAGGGCTCGACGAGCGAATTAACCCCTAGACACAGCCTACTGAGTTTCTCGCCGGATCTTCTCAGCTCACCTACAAACGTTAGGGCGAGGCTGAAATAGCCTCTCAAGGCTATCAGCATAGGTAGGAAAAAAAAAGCCACTTTTGCGCTGACGGCCTCAATTGAACTTAAAATTTACTTCATTCCAATAGTTGAAGAAGTTTTTTTTGTTAGATATTTTTTTTAAATGTTTTAATTTAAATGGTTCTCCAGTAAAGTTGCAAAAATTACGCAAATAACATTTCATCTCTCGAAAATTTTTAGATGAAACAAACAAACAAAAAAAAATTTTGATAATATACTTATAGTCAAATTAGAAGACTATGATTTCACGTCTAGTACTATACTACACTACTGTTCGCGACGGACATGAATAAATGTAGAATAGATATTATTCGCGACGGACATTGATAGTTTAAAAATAGATAGGAAATATAGTAATAGTTAAATAGAGATATGTTCGCAAAGTACAGCGAGATTTAATAGAAATAGACAATGTCCGTAAATAGACTGTGTTAGAAAATAGTTAAAATAGAGAATAAATAGTTATAAATGTCCGTAAATAGATAGTATGTGAAAAATAGCTGTGAAATAAATAGAGAGAATGTAAATAGAAATAAGTAATTTGTAAATATTTTGTTTGAAAATAAAGATTGGTCCTCGTGGTCTTTAATTTGGCGTGGGAACGCAGGAGCGAGTCACAATACGGGCAACTAATAGAGCGACTAGGCAAACAATAGGCGAGCGAGGCGGCCGAGAGAACAATAGACGCCCACCGTGCTCGGACTCATAATAGCGCTGGCCGAGTGCGCGTGGGCGACCATAAATAAGGGGCCTACCTCGCTGCAAATTCAGTTCGAGACAGCGAGCCGACGAGTCCAGACCTCTCCAAAGAAGAGGAGAGCGCCAACCGAACAAGAAAAGACTCGCTCCTACGCCCTGCGCCGGTCAAGCCACGAGGACCGTGTGAACGCCATACTTGAAGCCTTCGTTATTTTCCTCGAACCAATCCCAGCACCCGTTCCGCGACAGCCACTGCGGCAATACTCGAGCCACCACGTTTCAACGAGAGTAAGAAGTCTAAAAATCACACGTGGTGGCCGAAACCTGAGCGGTGGCCGTCCGGAATATTGGTCCTTCGAGAGCCGGATTCATTTGAGGAAGATCGAAGAAAATTGAAGATTGAAGATTGAAGAAATGGTGCTCACACGGTCCGAGAAGATGAGGTCGTCACGCCTTGACCGGCCCGGCAACGAAGCTGTCTCGGGCTCAACATCGCAAGACGCACAGCAACGAGCTGTGTCGGCCGCGCCGCGTTCGGGAGTGACGCAGGGACCGCCACCGATGGCGGCAACCTCCTCCCAGTCAACCGCGCCGCGTTCGGGAGTGACGCAGGGACCGCCACCGATGGCGGCACCCTCCTCCCAAGTGGAAAAGTGTCCGGGAGTGCCGCGGGGCTCACAAGCGATGCCCCCCTCCCGCCAAATATTGCCTACGCAATACTCGCCGGCGTCGCCAACGGGACCGAACAGCGGGGTCTGTCGTCGAGTGGTCAGACCTCCCAGCACCGCGACACCGGCAACAACTTCAGGCGACGCAGCAACGGAGAGCGTCGTATCCGCGAGCCAGAACAGAAAGGAGTCAGCGCTCACGGCCAATCAAATTGTACACGGGTCCCACATCACGGACGCCGCTGCCAAAATCTCGACGACAGAAGAAGGCTCCACACTCCGCGACGGGATGGCGCCACCAGTACGAGGATCTTCAAGAAAGTCGAGTCAACAGTCACAACGGCTGTTGCTTATGGCGCGCCTCAAAGAAGAGCATCTTCGCGCCAAAGAAGAACAAGCCCGACTCCAAGCAGAGCTCGCCGCCGCCCGCATCTCAACATTAGAAGCCGAAGCGCTCGTTGAAGAGGAGGAAGATGCGCGCACAACACTCACGGAGGACGAGAACGAGCAATCACAGCGCATCGATACATGGCTCAGTCAGCAACGATCGATCGCGCTACAGGGAGTCGAAGAAAGAGTAATGCAGCCAACACACGGATCACCAGCCACCATCGAGCAACCGCAACTGGAACTTCCCGCACCAATAGAACAGCTGAAGCTACCGGCCCCTGCCGCGGCACCGATTGCCGCACCTGTCGCACCGAAGAGCGACATCGCCGAACTAGCAGCTGCCATCGCGACGGCCGCCCGCCAAGCCAGGCCCGGACCATCGCATCGGTACTACGGGGAGCTTCCAGTGTACAGTGGATCGCACCAGGAATGGCTCTCCTTCAAGGTCGCCTACGCCGAATCAGCGGACAGCTTCAGCGCCGCAGAGAACACTGCGAGACTTCGGCGTACGTTGAGAGGAAGAGCAAGAGAAGCGGTCGAAAACTTGTTGCTGCATTACACCGAGCCCGCCGAGATCATGCGGACTCTAGAATCGCGCTTCGGACGTCCAGAAGCAATCGCCGCAACGGAGCTGGAACGACTGCGCGCGCTGCCACGCTGCACGGACACACCGAGGGACATCTGCGTATTCGCGAATAAGG